CCACTTGGCAGTTCCTCGAGAGAGGGAAGTCCCCTTTTTCCCATTCAAGCATGCAGTGAGAAGGATGGAGACTCTTTTCAAATGACGCCTCTCTCGGGCTCCTGTACACAGGGTTATGGATACAGACGTGTGTTATCTGCCTTCTCCCCGCTGCGGCTGTAGTGAAAGTCTCTCCCCGCCCCGTTCCTCCTCGTGCTGCGTCAAGGATCCCCCCGTGAACCCTGTCGAACAGTTGTCCACCCCATTTTATTTGGCGTCATCAATCCGACTGCATACCTTGTAATGTTTTTGGAACCCCTCACATTTGAAATATTTCTAGAAGAAGGATAATCCGCAACAAGGAATCAAGGCATAAACTACAGGAGGGATGTGTTCATGGAAAGATACCTTGGCACAAGGTTGAACTCTGTTTGTTTTCCCCTTCCCTGTGTTTATTATTAATTTGTTTTTTTTTTTTTTAATTATGTATCATTTGGGGAGTGGAAGCCCCATTGGGGAAGTTTTCTCCCTTATTTTCCTCTTCATGGTTTGGAAGGACAGTCGCCGACGAGGTGACCGCACAGGATGTTCCACGCCAAATTGATGGAGTGATCCCCACCCATGCATACGACACACTTGCTGTTTCTGCCGTAACGACGAGGATTACGCACCTACAGCGATATGTGTGCTGAACTTTTTTCTTTCTTTTTTTTTTTTTTGTTATTTTTGTTATTTTCGCGAACAAAAGGATACTAAAGGTGTGTAGTGCAACTTTTTGTGTCACCCCATCGTGTGCTTGACAAGCTGGTTTGCATTTCCCAAGTGAGATTCTTTAATCGGCATAGGGAGTAACTTGGCAATTATTCTTTCCTTTTACACGCAGAAGGGGAATTTTTGTCACTACGGAGCTTGCCAAGTGTTCATGTGTGGGGCGCGAGTGCCTTTGTCCTCGTTGGCACAGTTGGCTAGCTATGTTAGAAGGGTAGAAAAAAAAAAAAAAAAAAGACTAGCGCAGCAACGTAGCAACGTGGCAACACATTAGCATATTAAGAGATCAACGCACACCCTGCTGTGTGCTTGCGCACGTTTGCAAATTAGCGAAGAAGGGGCGCCGAACGTCACAACTGGTGCGTCCCCCCAGGGGAGTTCACTAAGTGGGGCGCTCAGTTCGCCACGCAGGAGCACTCTACGTAGGAATACGCGACGTAGGAACACACCACGTAGTAACCTGCGATGGCGCCGATGAAGGGGAAAAGTGCGAAGCCGGGCTGCCACCTGCGTGCCGTGAAAGGCTCGGGGAACGCGATCAAGAAGCGAAGCGAAAGGAACACGAGGGGAAAGCGAAGAGGCAGCAGGGGACAGCATAATCTCCCAGACTTCTCCTGCCTGAGAAAACTAATATATGAACAAAAAAAAAAAGACAACATATCAAACTTATTCTCCTTTAACGACCCAATCATAAAGGAAAAAATAGATAAATTTAATCAGATAATCGAAAAGAAGAAGGAGTTTCTGTGTGAAACAACTGAGAGTAAAAGGGGTGAGCAGGATGAAATGGCTCCGAACGTATGTGAGTCGTCTACTTTTGGGTATACCTTCATCGACAGGGTGGTGAATTTCTCCCACAAGGAAGACATAGAGGACTTAATACAGCAGGAAGAAGATGACGAGGACGACCCGTTGCACTGCGATTACCCGTATCAGCACCATCGTGGTCGCCTAGAGAATCGGACAGATAGCGAAACGACGGAGATCCACCTCAGGGAGAATAGAAGCGAGCATGAAGGGGACCTCCCGCCATGCGCGGAGAACCAACATGAGCAGCCGGGAGGCAGCAGTAAGGACCGCCCATATCGCAATGACCACGTGGATCAAACGAAGCACCCGAATGGGGAAGCAAAAAATGGAGGTAAGCATAACCCGCCCCAAAGCTTCAACCCAGAGAAAAGAAGCAAAGGGAGGACAGACAAAGGGAAAGAAGAAATCCTATTTAACAATAAAGTAATATTTGATAGACGAAAAAAAGATTTCATTCTAGACCAACTCAAACTGAAGTTCGACGAATTCAAAATAGACACGCTGACGATACCGCAGAAACCACTTACTATCATCGACGAGAATGGTGTCGAGAAGAGGAAGCTGTTCATTTTTAACATCAACAATAGCAGCGACAGAAGGAAGAATGAGAAGAAAAGGATCCAAATTGTGTACGACAGGGCGAGGGGATCAGAAGTGGGCCCATCAGAAATGAGTGGATCAAAAGTGGGACAGTCTCCAACTGGAAAGCCTCCAACCGGACAGTCTCCAAGGGGCCGCTCCCCCCCGGGGAAATCTCCCGTGAAGGGCGACAACGACGTGGACGTCACCGAGCTGGTGAACCGAATAAAGGAGCAGAAAGAGTCCTACCTCTACTTCGTCGTTAAGAACAACCAGCTGTTGCTAAAGAGCAACAATGACTACTTCAGCATAATGATGCATTACCTGTGCGAAGGCACCTCTGGCATAAACCTACAAATGAGCTACTACCTTATGATGAAGCCATCACACATGGACATGCTTCTCTACCTCATCCTAACGTATCACAAATTCCCCTTCGTCGACTTACTGGAGCAGTTCGAAAACGTGTCTGTTAGCAACATCGTGGAGAGTTCCTTCGAGGAAATGACTCTATACGATTACTACTACTACTTTTTTCACATACTGGAAGTTTCTCACGAGCAGTATTATATGTCCCTGGAGGTACTGGAGAGCATGAAGCTTATGATGAATAAATACAACTTCTTCCTGGGGCGGATGCACAAGAATTCGATTTTCTCCAACGAGAAGTTTGTGCTTGGCATGGGTGACATTCGGGACGTCCACCAGGTGTTCCTACCGGGGAAGGACGAAGAGGCAGAAGGAGATGGAGAAGCGGATGGGGAAGCCAAGGGAGAAGGGAAGGGAGAATCGAATGAAGAAGCCAGTGAAAAAGTGACGGGAGACGCCAATGAAGACGGGGCAGGGGAGACCCCCCCCTCGCAAACCCTGCGCAGGAAAAACGGAACGCTACAGTACATCCTTAACACCAAACTGGAATTCATCAATTACCAGCAAAGAAACTTCCTACAGGAGACCCACTGGGATGAAATGGAAAACTACCACCACCTGAATCGTCTGGACAAACTGGTTTACTTCACGAAGGATCTCTACTATAAGTTTACGAAGAAGAACATACACAGCAAGTTAGAAGAGATCACGTGTGAGCAGAAGCACTTCGACAAAGTGCAGATGATTGAATCGTGCAAGAAAAAACTTCCTCCTTACAAGAAGGGGGTAAAGTTTATGAATTTTCTTGGGGTGCACTCTCACTCCTTGGTGTGGCAGGTGTATTGCACGGAGATGGAGCTGTTTTGTGTACTCAAGTTTAAGCAAATTCGTCAGGGGGGGCAAGGCCCGTCCAGGCGTACGATGGGTGGCGATGACTTATGGGACAAGCAGCATACGGATCGGCCTTCAGATGCCCCGCAGACCGACCCGCGTATGGAGGAGGCACCCCACCTAGGACGCATCGAAGCCGAAATAAACGCTGTACTGCGCAACTTCCAAGCAGAGGTCAAGGAGAGACAAGTGGAATGCTTGTACGTCCCCATCTCGGTCGAGATCACCAATAGACTCATCGAAAAAACAAAGTACATCAATGGGACCCCACTGCACGAATTTATTTACAGCGAATTCCTCTCCGGCATCGATTTGAAGCTCCGAGTATTTAAGCTCAAATGCATCATCGTAAAACTTATAAGGGTCGTCGTCAATTTTTTAAACATCCCTACGCTGATCATACTGAAGTGTTCCCGCATCTTCGTTAAGGAGGATAGCTTAATGGTGAATGGCGGCATTCCGTTGGGATTGCTGTCCGGCGAGTCCGTGCGTTTCCTTCTGTACGGGGTCGAGGAGACGATCGCTACGCGCACGTACAGCAAAACCCTTTGGCATTACCTCCCCCCGGAGATTAGCCGCCAGGCAGACGGAAAAAGCGGCGGACGATGCAGAAGAGGCGGATGCACAAATGACGTAACAAACGGTGGAAGCCTCCCCCCTGATGGTACCCGCGCGCCCAACTGCTTCCTCCTCGAAGACAGAACGCAGCTAGAGAAAGCCTACTCTTACATGATCGGGAAGGTCTTCGAAGAGGCCCTCATAGATACCTTCACAGGGGACAAATTCGACTACCTCAATTTTGACGAAAATGTAAAAGACTTCCTTGAATCCTGCTTGTCCGAAAACATGGAGCGTCGACAACCACTTAGTGAGATAGCACAGCACAGGTGCTTCTCAGATTGCTTCGATCTCTATATTAACATTTACGACGACAATATCAATGCGTACCACAATGACAGGGAGAAAGCTATCCGATTGAACGACCTAAAATACATCAGAAGTTTCGATTACAAAATGTTTTCTATTCCTTCTGAGTCCGATTCGGAGTCTTCCTCCCGGGCCCCTTCCTCGTCGGACTCGCGCAACTCTAACACGTCCAGTGGGTACCCCTCCAGCTAGTGCCTCTAACGAGGGGCGTCTTACCTGCGTTGGTAACGTAGGGGGGGGGAAAGGCTCACCGAGGCGCTTCCAATCATTCCGCCAAGTGGTCAACCTGCCATCCTACCAACCAAGTAGACTCTCCACAGATTGCAAACCCCCGCGTGGAAGTAACCCCCCCTATGGTTCACCTTTCCACCCGTCAGTGCTGCGATTTACTTTTAATGAGGTAGGGATACAGAATGTCGATGCACCTCTGGAGATTCTGGTAGCTTCTTCCCCCCGTGAGGGTTATGTTGCCCGTGGAGAATATGCTTGCCGAGACGACGTCCACCGTGCCGCGGCCCCTTTCCGCAGTGCTCCGGGTGGTGCTCCAGGCGAAGTTCCCTTCGGCTTGCTGAGCGAGGTGGTAATAAAACGGTTTAGCGGATTAGCCGATTAGCGGTTTAGCGATGAGACGGTGAGTCGGTTTATCCGTTTGTCGACCACACGCAGGAACCGCACGCGAATGGCCTACCTCGCTCGCCTCGGAGGTGTCCTTCTCGCTCTCATTCGTGACGGCGATTTTCACCTTGCACGCCGGGAACACATTGGGGTCATAGTCGACCTGGAGGAACAGCAGAGGAAGAGTGAATGTGGCGCGAAAACAGATACGGAAGCACAAGCAGGCGCAAAAGAGCACTCCCAGATGAGACTCCTCTCACACCCAGACAAGACTCCTTTCACAGTCACACAGAACTCCTCTCGCACCCACACTTTTGTAGTACTGCGCGAACACAGGCAGCACGATGGAGAAGCCGATGTTGTACACAGCCAGTATGTTTGTGATCGTCACGTTCTTTATGCTTATATTCTTAAAGTTCAACTGCTTTAACTTCCTCTCAATCTTCTTCATGGCTATTTTACACGCCTCGATGGAATTATTTCCTGTGCAGATGATTTTTCCATTGGCAAAAATAGACACGTTTATAATGATTTTTTCTTTCGTGGCGTTCTGCTCTTCGGGGGTAGCATCCCCATGGGGAATGGTGGCCTCTTCTTCCTTGGGGGCTTCAACAACCTGGGATGTTGTTTCAACCCCGGGTGGAGATATAGCTACATTAGTCCCATCATAGGACACAACATCTCCTTCTCTCCTCTTCTGTGTGTCCCCCTTTTCATTTACCAACCTGACGTACTTTTTTATACTACGAGTACTCACTGGCACGTCAATTCGCATGCAATTGAATTCTCGAGGGTTATAAATGCAGTTAGCAAAGTGCTTGTAGAGGTTTTCTAGATTGAGGGAGGAGCACAGGGTTGCATTCATCGAGATGTTGTGGACGCTCATGTTGTTTTCGCTTTGGGCGTAAATGTTCTGTGCTTGTTCGCTGTTCAGCTTGGCCCTCTTCAGCGGTTGCGCCATGGTCGCTCAGTGGGCTCTACTACATGCGAAGTGCTAACTAGGCTACTATGCCACTACGCAACTACGCTACCACGCAAGACCGCTTTCCCCCTCTGACGAGGTGGACCTATCTCGAAAGACAACGAGTGCCCCTTCGAATGTTTTTCTTTCTTTTTAAGACCTCTCAACTGTGCGGACAAGAGGACGTGGGAGGACTAACTAGAGGAGCAAACGGGAGCATGCCTTATGTGCGATTCTGTGCACGGGGGTGAAATCAGACATGCGGTTGACACGGTCACACTTGTGAAGAAAAAGGAGCTGGGCTTTTTTACGGCTCCCTGCACATTATCGTAACGATGAAGCGCAGAGGCGTTACAACAGAATAGCCTCGTGCGAAGTACGCTCCCTTGACAAGTCTATGCTAGAAGGAGATGCTTTCCCTTATCTGGGGCATACCACCCATGCAGCGCATTAAAAAGCAGCGTAGCACAAACCCACTTCGTTCCTTTTGGGGTAGAGGGGACCACATGCAAATCTCCCTTCGCGTGGCTCCCCGGAGACTTGTTCACTTCATATCATGTGTCAACGCGGAGGGATAAACCAGGTGAGAATATCTTTCTTCAGCTTCACTCACCTGGCAAGTTCCCCCGTTCATATTCTCACTGCTTAGAATTTCGAAACACTCTACGCACCGTAAACTGGGGGAAAAATCTCCCCCACTCGCTTTTTTATAAACTTCTATGTAGGTTGTCACAAAAAAGGAGCCTGCCGTATTGCCCCAATCA